CAAATTGTCGTTGTTGTTGTTGTTATTTCTAACCCTCTTTCCCGCATCTCCCTTTACGAATGTTATGGTTTCATGTCCTGGCATTGAATGTGTGCCGCACATAGGTTGTGCTTCGCCCTGAGTCCCCTGCGGGGTGAGACGAGTGGAATATAAATGTTTTAAATAAATAAAATAAAATATTTATTATTATATTATTGATATTATTGTTGCTATTATTATTATTTCTATTCTACTTTATCTGTATGATTACATTTATTATTATGTTATTGCTGCTGCTGCTGCTGTTGTTGTTGTTATATTAGCAAAATGTGCTCTAGCAGGGAGTCCCTCCTGCAAAAACAAAGATGTGGCAGTTTAACAAACTTTTCTCACGCTTGTTATGGTAGAACCAATTAGGAAATGGCATCTACAACCCAGGAACACGGTGTTGTTATTGATTATATATTGTTGCTGCTGTAATTTTAAGGTTATTATTGTCATCATAAAAAAACCCAAAGTTTTGGCAGGTTAATGAATTTTTCCCATAGGTTCTTGTGGGTTTTTTCGGGCTATAGGGCCATGTCTAGAGGCATTCTCTCCTGACGTTTCGCCTGCATCTATGGCAAGCATCCTCAGAGGTAGTGAGGTCTGTTGGAAGTAGGAAAATGGGTTTATATATCTGTAGAAAGACCAGGGTGGGACAAAGGACTTTTGTCTGCTGGAGCTAGGTGTGAATGTTTCAACTGACCACCCTCATTAGCATTTGGAGTCCTGGCTGAGCCTGGGAGAATCTTTTGTTGAGAGGTGTTAAGCTGTGCTTGTTTGTTTCCTCTCTGTTGTTTTGCTGTTGTAATTTTAGAGTTTTTTTAATACTGGTAGCCAGATTTTGTTCATTTTCATGGTTCCTCCTTTCTGTTGAAATTGTCCACATGCTTGTGGATTTCAATGGCTTCTCTGTGTAGTCTGACATGGTGGTTGTGAGAGTGGTCCAGCATTTCTGTGTTCAGAGAAGCCACTGAAATCCACAAGAAGCATGTGGACAATTTCAACAGAAAGGAGGAAACCATGAAAATGAACAAAATCCGGCTACCAGTATTAAAAAAAACCTCTAAAATTGCAACAGCACCACAACAGAGAGGAAACAAACAAGGACATCTAATCACCTCTCAACAAAAGTTGCTCCAGGCACTGTCAGGCCATCAAATGCTAATCAAGGTGGTCAGTTGAAACATTCACCCTAGCTCCAGCAGACAAGAGTCCTTTGTCCCACCCTGGTCATTCCACAGATATATAAACCCATTTTCCTAGTTCCAACAGACCTCACTACCTCTGAGGATGCTTGCCATAGATGCAGGCAAAATGTCAGGAGAAAATGCCTCTAGAACAGGGCTACAGGCCATCAAATGCTAATCAAGGTGATCAGCTGAAACATTCACACCTAGCTCCAGCAGACAAGAGTCCTTTGTCCCACCCTGGTCATTCCACAGATATATAAACCCATTTTTCCTAGTTCCAACAGACCTCACTACCTCTGAGGATGCTTGCCATAGATGCAGGCGAAACGTCAGGAGAGAATGCCTCTAAAACATGGCCCTATAGCCCGAAAAAACCCACAAGAATCTACATAGATAATAATGTATATTGGAGAGATGCAAACCCTGTCCCGGCATAGGCTGAGCAAGAGCTTGCATTCTATATTGAACCCTAATCTTTGATTCTACATTGAACTCTTAAGGTTTCACACTGCTGTGGCGTTACGGGGTTGCAGGCGAAACGTCAGGAGAGAATGCCTCTAGACCATGGCCATATAGCCCGAAAAAACCCACAAGAACCTATTGATTCCAGCCATGAAAGCCTTTGACAATACAACGTTTCCCATGTTTTAATGCTGGAAGCAATTAGGGGATCACACGGATAACCCAGGAAGACGGGTGGTGTTAGGCCGTGTGGTTGTTGTTCCTCTCCCCGTGGGCACCAGGGCTCCTCTGCCGTGGCACTTGGGCTTGTTGTTCTAACGTAATTTGCTATTTTGACGAGTTGAGTCTTGGCTGTGCACGCAATGCCGCGAACTGTTGATCCACATCCCAAACTGGCAAATGTTTTTTCCCTAAACAGAGTGAGGCTGGGCTTCCTGCCTTTTCCGGCTGAGAGCAAAGGGGACCGAGATCCCGAAGGCAGCAAGCAAGCAAGCAAGCCTGGGGTCTTTCTCCTTGAAGGGAGGGCGACCCACCCCCTCTGCCTCCTGCTTCCTTCCTTCCTTCCTTCCTTCCTTCCTTCCTTCCTTCCTTCCTTCCTCCCTCCCTCCCTCCCTCCCTCCCTTCCTCCCCGACCGGCTGCTGAAAGAAGGCAAGGCGGAGCGAGCGAGCGAACGAACGAAGGAACGTGCAATTACCCCCAATCACAGGCCCGGCTTTTGTGCAGCTGATTAATGTAAACCCAGTCTTCTGAAACGGCCGTAATTGCAGGGCAAAGGCTGGCTGAGCTCCCTCTAATTTCAGGTCGCCCCCCCCCCCGTCCCTCC